TTAAAAGATTAAAAGGCGGGAAAGAAGCCTTGTCAGAAACCTTTGTGGAGTGCTGGGGGACCACTGTACCAGGCTTGGACAATCAGGGTTCTTAGTTTCTCTTATTAATAAGGAATTTAAGAATGGATTCAAATAGAAGTTTGAGGACAACTTACTAAAATCAAACAAAACAAAACAACGCCAAAAAGACCAAGGGGGGGCGGCAGGCAAGCTATAAATCTTGCAGCTGCCCAGAGAAGACTAGAGAAGAGTAAAATGACATGGAGGTCAGCCACATGGCAGGGAGGGGGCTCTAGAGAAAGATTAGGAAAACCCAAAACATCTGTGAGTTTAAAATCAGGGGTTGTCGGGTTTGCATGGCAAATACTTTCACCAGCTAAGCCATTTGACTGGCCTGGCTTACATATTTTTTTGTGGATATATTAATGTACATTTGTGTATGTAGAGACTTTATTCTTTTCTTTCTTTTTATTTTATCATTATCATTACTTTTTGTTGTTGTTTGCATGATTTTTTGAGACAGGGTTTCTCTATGTAGCAGTCCTGGCTGTCACTCCTGAACTCACTCTGTAGATCAGGCTGGCCTCAAAGTCATAGAGATCCACCTGCCTTAGCCTCCTGAGTGCTGGGATTAAAGGCCTGTGCCACTACAGACCAGCCACTTTCCTCACTTTTAATAAGGCATGGCTATCTTTCCACTTGTGCTCAAGTAGATATATAATGAAGCCCCAAATAATAGGCATTAACTTATTAAAATAGTTCACTGTTATAAAAAAGGATGAAAATGAGTTGTATTTTTCTGGGTTCTTCAAAGAATACAAAAGTGTGTGTGTGTGTGTGTGTGTGTGCAGGTGTATTCGTGAACGTGAATGTGTATGTGTTCATGTGTGTAAAAGAAACTGCCTAGTGATTGTGGAGGTTTTAGAAACATGTTTAGAAACATCAGGGTAGCTGTCAGGCTGCAGACCCTTGGAGAAGCCAATCTTGTTGCAGTTCAGATCTGAAGACCTTCTAGAAGCTTTCCTTTCTCTTGGGGAGGGCAGGCAGTCTTGTTTTAGTCAATTCATTAACTGACTGGATGAGGTCCATCTGCATTATAGTAGGCAAGCTGCTTTATTCAAAATCTGATTTTTTAAAAAATTTTATTTTATATTTTATGCGTGAAAGCTGTGCATGTAAACCTGCAGCTCAGAAGAGGGCATCAGATCCTATTGCAGATGGTTGTGAGCCACCATGTGATTGAATTGAACTCAGGACCTCTCAAAAGAACAGCCAGTGCTCTTAACCCCTGAGCCATTTCTCCAGCCACTCAACATCTAGTTTAATCATTACCTTTTATTCAAAAACACCTTCTTAGGATTATCTAGACTAGTGTTTGATCAACTAATCCTTGCCATGGCTAAGTTGACATGCAAAATGAACAGTTTTCAATCACTTCTATTTCACAAGCTCCTTTTACTATAACTCTGGTTACCCTAATCCCTGCTCTGCTCACTAATGGTACTGTGAAGGAGAGAGCTGAGTGTGGTAGTAAACATTTATAATCCCCAAACTGGAGGCAGATACGGAGCCAACAACAGTCTACATTGATGACTCCACCAAAGTCCACCTTGGCAAACCAATGGGTGTATTGGGGTTACTTACTGGAGACTCAGTGAGGGCAACTTATTAGTTCAGAGGTACATAGCTTATCTAGGATGTGCAGGAACTTGGGTCTAATCCTTAGCAGTGGGAGTGGTCTGGTGGAAATAATTGTTTTTATTTAACCTCTTTCTTACATTTATGAGTGTTATTGCTTTCTGGATGTGACGTTGCTAGATGCTTACAATGGTTCACTCAGTAGCCAGTCTTCAGAGGTAAACTGATCACAGGTTCATCAGTTCACAAAGGCAAAAACATCCCAACATCCAACCAACAAACACAAAGACAACCTAACATCACTCCAAGGAGAAAACAAACAGGCAGGAAGTCCTTCATTGCCATGCATGTTGCGTCTGCCTGTGGGCTTCCTCACAAAGGTGGAAACATCCGAAAAACTGGGCTTGTGTGAATATGCATACCTGTGTCCTTTGTAGGTGGTGTCATATGTGCTGCAACTGTGGGTAGTGGGCATTTGGATTAGTGTCTATCTTTTTTGAGACAGGGTGTTACTTTATAGTCCTAGCTGACCTGGAATCACTGTGTAGACCAGGCTGGCCTTCACAGAGATCTGGCCTGCCTCTGCCTCTTGATCTAGGATAAAAGTGTTCACCATTGCCGTCTCTTTTAATAGAACTGAAGCTTTTGGGTGCAGAAATTCTTCTTTTTTGCCTTATACTCAAAATTTTGAACAGCAGTGTGTAGTACATGACTACTGAATGAGAGAGGTGATCTGGTTGCCAAAAAGAAAAAAAGGAAAACAAAACTAGAGGGAGGAAGGTACTGTAGAGGAGTGACTGAGAAAGAAGAAAAAAGAAAAAGTAAAGGAGGGCAGGGAAAACCAGTGATAGAGTCAGCTCCAGGCTACTGGCTTCAGGCCCCAGTTTCTGGGAGGTGGAGTAAAGGAAAAGTGTTCTGCTGTGAACCTCCGCCGCGGGAGGGGGCGCCCTTTGACTCAGCAAGTTTTTTGGGCGTGGCACATGTGGGCGTGGCCACAGCCAAGCGAGGCAGGAGTGGAGAGGATGAGGCAAGGGTCCGTAGCTCCAGGTGAGTGTCGCCTACTGTAGCTCACAGCGAGATCCTCGCGGCCCCTACGTCACATTGCTCTGCTGGAGTGCTGGGGAGGCAGAATCCGGGCCTCGGAGGCTGGGCCCACTGACTCCTGCAGGCCTCAGTTTCCCCAGCGGTGATGGGGGATGGGCTGGCTGCTTGGGCCCTGGGCTCGCTCCTGGTTCCCGCCTGGCTGCCGGGCTTTGCCCTTGAAGCCCCACCCCTCTTCCAGTGCAGCCTGGCTGCTGGGGCCAAACCTAGATGTGAATCTAGACCAACTGTGCGACCTTGGGCAAGTCAGGTCCCCTTCATGCCTGTTTTCTTAGGTTTAACATAGGCAGTATGGGGCCGAGGGGATGGCGCCAGCGAGTGAAGGTGCCTGACGGTGGTTTGTTCTCTGACCTCCTCACCACTGCTGTGGCCCGTGAGTACACCTCTACCCCAATAAGTAAATAAAGGAAGGAAGGAAGGAAGGAAGGAAGGAAAAGAAAATGAAAAACGATTGCTTTGAAATAGGCATCATGTACCCTGCCTGATAGGTTTTTAAGAGACCACTGTTTGTGTTACTGTCGCTGTAGTGTTACTTCTGTGATGATGTGGTTATCATTTTGATTGCCTGTTGTTTGTATTTGTTTGTTTTTGTTGTGCTGGGATGGAATCCCAGACTTTCTGGGATGAAGGGTGTACCACTGAGCCAAGTTCTCTTTTTAACATTGTGACTTTCTCCCCAGTAAAGGAGGGCTGGGTAGAAGTCGTTTTCCTCACATCTCTCTCTCTCTCTTTTTTTTTTTTTTTTTTTTACAGTGGTGAGTGAGCAGGGGAAGTCTTGGCCAGTCAGGGGGTCCGTGGTTGATTCTGAGGTTTCTGCTTTGTCTGAAAGAGGCATTTTAGTAATTAGAGTGTTTGATGAGCATGGTGGTACAGGCCTTTAATACTAGCAGAGGCAGGCAGATCTCATGAGTTCAAGGTCAGCTTAGTCTAAATAAGGAGTTCCAGGACATCCAGGGCTACATAGTAAGACCCTGTCTCAAGAAAGAAGGGAGGAAAATGTCGTGATTGGGCCTTATTTTTATGGCATAATGCCCGGAGGGTCTTTGACTCTAGAAAGTGCCTTGCAACCGCCCCTCTTCTTCCGTTCCTCCCTTCCCCTCTTAGCTGTTTTTTAACCTTTGTTTTGTAGGCTTTTGCTAGGTCAGCGCCTTCTGCCCTGGCCTGCTGGCAGCCTGCAGTTCAGTGCTGATTTCAATGCTGCCCTCTGTTGAGAATGTTCTGGAATCTGCAGCTTCTAAAGGTCTCATTTTGGTGATGGTGAACTGACTGGTGGGGTGACCCTGTTTCCAGTTTGTTGTTTTCCTCCTTTGCTTTGAAAGACATTTCTTTCTTTCCCCTGTGTAACCAGACAGCTACAGTATTTTTCTTTTTTACTTCTAAAGAATTGTAAAGAACAACAGGCTGGAGATATGGCTATTGTGAATAAGGCCGTTGCGAATACTTGTTTGCATGATTTATGGGAACCTGTCTTTTTTCTTTTATTTCATCTTCTTTAAAAACAAAAACAAGAACATCAGGGTTTCTCTGTCTATCCCTGGCTGTCCTGGAACTCAGCCTGTAGACCAGGCCTCACAGAGATCTGCCTGCCTCTGCGTGGGCCACCATTGTCTGGCTCATGAAGTGTATTTTAATAGGAAGGGTTCCTTAGTATTTCTACTTATTCCCTAGCTTTATTGTTTCTGCTGTTTAGTCGTAGACATTTCATCATCTCTCAGGAGTAACCAGTTGATTAAGGGTAAAAAAAAGATCTTTGCTGGCCCTAAATAACAGGTGTTTTATGGTGCTTTGGTGACATGGCTTTTCTCTGTCACTTTGTCCAGCAGTATATGGCACTGAAGGGTGAGAGAAGGCACAGCAAAGGGGAGCTAAAATCAGTGAAATGAAGATTCAGGTTTTAAGTCTTTTGGGGTATTGAGGATTAAGCTTGGGACCTGTGTTCCACCAGTGAGCTGCATCCCCACTTTTACAAATTATACATTGCCGCTGTGGTTCTCAGCTTCCACTTGCCTCTGTCCTGTTCTATAATCTCATCTTACCTAGGTGGTTTTGTTGACTTAGACATTTTTCTTTTCTCTTGTACAGAAATGGAGCTCGTAAAGTGTCTCTGGGCTGTAATTATTAGTTCTTTGTTGTGTGTGCTTTGGATGGGCAATTATAGGGAGGGAGTTCGGGCTAGATACAAGCTTTGCTGCTAGGAAGAGTTTCACTGGTATTGATGTTGTGAAAATGGTCTTCTAATTTAATCGTTGAAATATCTTTTTAGGACTTAAGATGTCTTCTTTGATCAGGCACCATTTGGGACATGGGAGACCTTCAGTAGCTAAAAGGTAAAGTGAAATATTTTTAAATGTGTCTTTTTTTAAAAAATTCATTTGGGGGTAAAATTATCAAAATTAGACGAAGACAGACGTGCAGATGTCAAGATTTAATTTCTGATTTTGCTTTAAATTTTAGTCTATATAATTAGAAAAATGACATCCTTTTCATTTTCTGGCTGCAAAAGCAATACACAGTTTGTTTTTAAATAAACTACTTTGGAATAATTACAAGAAGTTGAAAGAAATACTTTGCAAATATATTCACAACCCTATGGTGTGTAGTATGGGGCAAGCCCCAAGCCTGTGTAGCCCATCCATGGGTTAAGCTATGTAGATTCTTCACACTCATTATTATATTAGTAGTGAAGACCAGAAACTGTAAATTCTGTTTCTGTGTTTGCAGGTAGTCTGTGAACATCATTGTTTATGAACATTCATTAACTTCTAGCTCTGCAAATGTCAGAATAGCTGCTATCAAATTTTTATATTTTTTTTCTCCTTTGTTTTTAAAGATTTTAAAAAAATTGAGTTTATATGTGTGTGTCTTCAGGAGGGTGTGTGTGTGTGTGTGTGTGTGTGTGTGTGTGTGAATGTGTATACCTGTGGAGGCCAGAGGAAATAGATCCCCTGGAAGCCATTGGGAGCCATCTGACTTGGGTGCTAAGAACCAAACTCAGGTCCTCTGGAAGAACACTCTGTGCTTTTAACCATCTCACCAGCCCCTTCTCTGTTGTTTTGACCATTTTATCCACATATATTAATTGTACAGAAAATAGGTGTCATTGTGACATTTCATATTACACATGGATCACACCACCCCCCTTATCCTTCCCATCCCCCCAAATTGAATGAGAGAGAAAACTTATAATCCTTGTCTTTCAGAGTCTGGTTTATCTGGTGTAATAGATGATCTTCACTTTTATCTGCTTTGCTGATATGGAGTTCCCTTTTTCTTAGTGTGTGTAGTTTGTATGCATGAACAAGTGTGTTATCCCCAGAATCCATCTGTCGTGTTTTGAGATAGGGTTTCTCACTGGCCTAAAGTTCACCAATTAATTAGGCTAGGGTAGCTAGCTGACCAGCAAGCCCTACTTGGTTTTGCCCCCTCAGTGCTAGGTTTACAGGTATGGACCACTATGCACACACATACCCATCCATCTCATTAACTCTCTCCATCAAACTTAGATCCTCACCATGGCAAGCACTTCCCTACTGAGCTGTCTCCACTGCTGTGTGGCTAATTTTGGTTGATAACTTGACACACCTGGGAGGAAGGTGTCAGATTGGCCTGTGGGCGTGTCTGTGGGTGTTTTCTTGATTGCTAAATGATGGAGGAGGCCCTGACCCACTGTGATGGTGCTCCTTCTGTGCAGGTGGGCCCAGGCTGTCTAAGCAAGCCAGCTGAGTGGGAGTAGGGCAAGTTAGTCAGGAAGCGTTCCCCAGAGTCCTTGCTTTTGTTCCACCCCCCAGGTTCCAGCCTCAGGTGTTTGCTCTGGCTCCTCTTAGTGGCACACTATGATATGGACATATAAACCAAATAAATCCTTCCCTTCTGAGCTATTGCAAGTTAGGACACCAACCCTCCATTTTTCTCTACAGCTGAGTAATAATCAGTATATATGTTGTGTGTGTCTCTCTGTGTGTGTGTACCACATATTCTTTATTTATTTATCTGATGATGGGTCTCTTGACTATCGTGAACAGTTTTAAGACATATAGATATGCAGAGATTTCTGTTGTATGCTGACTGATTCCTTTGGTGAATTTTGGGAGTGGTTAGTAAAGTATATAGTATAGTTCTTTTTAAGGAACCTCTATGCTGATTTCCATAATTGCTGTACAGGTTATTAATACAGCTTTAAGGAGATTTGGTGCATTTGTTTTGTGATAGCCATTCTGACTACCTTGAGATCCTCTTGCTTCTGCCTCCTGAGTGCTGAGATTAAAGGCTTGTGCCACCACACCTAGCTCAATATGGTTTTGAAATGCATTTCATTTTCCTAATGGCTGGCTGTAGATGTTGAACATTTTTCATGCATTTATCGGCTGTAGAAAAGTGTGTGTGACAGCGCATGTTGGAGGTCATAGAACTTTGCAGAGTCAGTCTCTCCATCTTTAGGAAAGTTCCAAGGGTCAGATTCATGTTGCCACGCTCTTGTAAGGGCTCTTACCTGCTGAACTATTCCTTGATGGTTTTGTTGGTACTTTTGAAATTGTCTGTACAGTTCATTTGCCTATTTTAAAAAATATTTTATTTATTATGTGTATATGGATGTTTTGCCTGCATGTTTATCTGTGTATCCCAAGAGGTCATTGGATCCCATAGACTACAGTTGTAGATGGTTGTGAACCTCCATGTGGGTGCTGGGAATTGAACTCATGACCTCTGGAAGAGCAGCCAATGCTTTTAACCATTGAGCCATTTCTCCAGCCCCTTTATTTGCCCATTTTTGACTGGATTATTTGGGTTTTTTTTTTTTTGGTATTTTTATTGTATGTGTGTGCCTGTGTGTGTATGCCTGTGAGAGTGTGTGTGAGTGTGTGTGTGTGCCTGTGAGTGTGTGTGCCTGTGAGTGTGTGTGCCTGTGAGTGTGCATGCATGCCTGTGAGTGTGTGCACTCATGTGTCCAGAGGATGTACTACCACATGTGTAGAGGGGAGAAGAAACCTGTGAGAGTTGATTCTTTCCTTCTACTGTGTAGTTGCAGGGTTGGAACTCAGGTCATCAGGCTTGGTAACAAGTGCCTTTATTTGAGCCATCTTGCCTGCCTGTATTTAATGTTTTGAGTTCTTTATATTTTCTGGATATCAGCTCTGTTTAGAGGAAATAGTTGATAATCCCTCCCTTGTTCCATAGGTTCTCATTACTGTTAATGGCTTGCTTTGCTGTGCTGGGCTTTTTAAAATTTGATGTGTTCCCTTTGCCATCACTGGTTAGTGGAAGACTTTTCCTGTTTCCCTCTAGAAGTCTCAAAGTTCAGGTCTTACATTAAGGCCTGCGATTCTAGGACAGGGTGACAAGTAGGGACCTAGTGGTCATTCTTCAATGTGTGGATATCCAGTTTACCAGCACCATTTGCGCAAAAAGCTATCTTTTCTCCAAAGCATGATTTTGGAACTTTTGTAAAAATCAAGTTGCTTAGATTCAAAAAGACTAATGCTATGTTTCCTCTCATATATGGAACCTGGAACCAGGTTTATTTGTGTATGTGTGTGATATATGTGTATAAGTTTGTAGGTCACTAAATTAGAAAGCTGACCCAGAGCAGGAAGGAAGATCTACTAAGGGAGGGGTACAGGGGAGGTCAGGACAATGTAACCTGGAAACAAAATGAGGAATTGTAATGGGGGAGGGCAGTATGGGCACCTGAAAGAAGGTAGGGATGAGGGAGAGCGAAAATTAGAACAAAATACAATGGCACAAATGAAAATGCCATAATGAAATTAATTGCTTTTAATAAGGGGCTGGGAACATGTTTCAGTAGGTCAAGCGCTTGTTTCAAAAACATAATGACTTATTTCAAGTCTCTAACATCCACATGAAAAGCCACTTTGTTGAATTTACCTGGTGAAAAGTCTTTGGTAGAATCTTTAAGAGTCTTCTAGTTGGAGGGTTGTATTTTTCTTTTGTATTTACATTCCTTTTATTGAAAATAGATTATGATTTCCCCTCTATTCCTCCCAGGTCCTCCCCACCTCCCTGATTCAGTTTTACTCCCTTCTGTCTCTCATTAGGGATACTATAATTCTAAGGAATACTATAACAAAATAGACTATAAGATAAAACAAAAATTATCACATTGGAATTGGACAAGACAAACAAACAGAAGGAAAAAGAGCCCAAGAAAAGGCATATGAATCAGAGACCCACTCATTCACGCACTCAGGAATCCCATAAAAACACTAAACTGGAAGTCATGATATATGTGTGCATGCAGAGGACCTGGTGCAGATCTGTGCAGGCCTGTGCTTGCTACTCCAGTCCTGTGAGTTCGTGTGAGCTTTGCTCATGCTGATTTAGAGGGACTTATTTTCTTGATGCCCCCTGTCCCCTCTGGCTCTTACACTCTCTCTGTCTTTCAAGGGGGGTTCTCTGAGCTCTTTGGGGGAGAGATTTGATGCAGACATCCTGTTTAGGGCTGAATGTTCTAAGGTCTCTCACTCTGTCTAATGTCTGGGTGTGGGTCTCTGTATTTGTTCCCATCAGATGCAAGAGGAATCTTCTCTGATGATGACTGAGCAAGAACTGATCTTTGAGTATAGGAGAGTCTCATTAGGAGTCATTTTATTGCTTTTTTTCCCCTTCTTTTTAGACCCATAGTATTTGATTTTACCCTAGGTCCCCAGTCTGTGTAGTGTTTGGCTTTCAATCACCCAAGCAATATCGGGATGGGTTCCAATCTTGTGGAGTCGGCCTTAAGTCATTAGACATTGGTTGATTACTCCCTCAAGTTTTGTGCCACCATTGCCATAGCATACCTTGCAGGCAGGGCACCATTGTAGATCAAAGGGTTTGTGACTGCCTTTGTATTTATGTTTTTCTTTTGGTAGGGTACAGAGTACCATTCTGTATCAAAGACACTAGAATGTAGGCATTCAATTCCTTTGGCCAACAATTTAATTAAATATAACCCAGTTCTGGTACCGGAAACTTCATTTGATGACAAGAGATGTCCAATTGGGGCTCTGTCTCACCATTATCTGGTGCTTTCCTACAGATCACCTTCATAAATATATATATTTTAAAAAGCTTCTGCTGTATTAGGTTTCTATACTACCCCTCAAATGGTCCTTGATTTTAGCTGTCTCTCCCAGTATTCCCCCCTCATCCCCTCCTGATCCTTTTGATTCTCCTATTCCAGCTCCTCCTTGTCCATCCATGTAACTATCCTGTTTCCCTTTCTTAATGCGATCTGTGTATTCCCTTGTCTCCATATCTAAGCTCTGTGGTCTATGGATTGTAGTCTGGTTATTACTGACTTAACAGCTAATACCCACGTGTAAGTGGA